TTTTTTTTTTTTTTAATATGCTGGCAATTGAAATTCCAAAAAATCCAGGTTGTTGATGTATGGACTGTGCCAGGGTTTAGACCTCTAAACAAGCATTCACATGCTGTACAAAGTATAAATTGTTCTAGGATTAAATCCATTTGCATTTGCATTCATTTTTAAAGGGACGCGTGGCTCCTTCTATTCATAAGATAACGTCAAGTTACACCTCAACTTTGCACTATCAGGTGTAATTGACACCATCCTTGTGTCTTTTTTATGGATTTCAAATATGCCATAAAGGGCAGTCGGAGAGTCTATAGTGCTCAAGAGTCGTACGGCTCTTTTTCTGTGGAGAGCTATTATTCTGTACCAAAATAGAGTTGCAAAGGGTCAAATTTGTTTACATTGCTGGCTTCCAGGTCTTCACGGGCTTTCATGTGAAATCTGCTTTTGGACTTTACCGGGGTCCAATTTATTTGTTGATTTCTCTAGTTGTGTATGGTATCTTGTGCTTCAAATTGAAGCATCGTGATTGTAATGTTAGAGTTTAATATTTATTGTTTTATATATGAAGAAAATTTATCTGATATCTACTAACGCAATATGATTTTCTTATCTGCTAACAGCGTATAATGATCTTTTCCGTAGGGAGGATTTTCGTAAGGAATACCAAGAACAGAATCCAGATGTCAAGTCAATGCGTGATGTATGTAGTAGATAAACTTGAAATGATCTACAGTTTGTCTTTACTCATATATGCCGAGTCTGGATTACTGATACTGAAAATGTAATTTCCTCCAATGGTGCAGGTTGGCAAGGCTTGTGGGGAGAAGTGGAAGACAATGACATATGAGGTTTGTGGATTTCAGTTAAATTTTCCCTGCTGTATTCTGGGACAGTTTGAAAAATGAATAAACAAGATTGGTTTTTTATGATGGCAGGGCCATCTAAATTATTTCACCGTTCATGCTACTGTGGCAGCAAGATGGATATTAGTACATGATTCAAAATAGATTTTACCTCTTTATCAATGCTATGAGGAAATTGTACGTAAGAGGAAAATGACAATCAATGTAAGGTAGCATAAAGATGCCTTTTAACTTGCAATCTAAATAGAACAACCTTCAAAACATGATGTAGGCACAGAAACAGACATGATGTGAGCCGATTTTTTTTTTTTTCAAAAAGCATGATGCAATACATTTGTGTATATCAAGAAAAAAATGCAAATATGCATGTTGTGTGTGTACATTCCCCCTTTCTTAATGCATAAATGTAAAGCACATGTGCTAGCATGTACATCCCCACCCAACTCTTGTAATATAAATTGCCAACTATACATGCATTGCTACATACGGGCTGTTAGTTACCAAATTTTTGCTTCTAGGGAATCTTGGGGTGTTCAAGACTATAATGTAAATCAGCTCAAGGGCAGTGGCAAGTCTAATTTTACAAGTTGCATTTTTTCAAAGAATGTCTTTTGATTTGCTCATTGCAGGAAAAGGTGCAATACTATGACGTTGCTACAGAAAAGTGAGCGGAGTTTGATAGGGCTATGGCAGAGTTTGAGAAAAGAATTGTGATCTTCTGATTTTTCTCTGCATGCCTTCCTTCTCGAGTGTTTTTATGCGTGCACACGTATGGAAGTGGGAAGTCCATATATTGATAACTTTCATTTAACAAGAATAATTTTGCAGGAAACTGGGGAGTTTGATGAGCTCGAGGATGATTCAGATTTTGATCAATAGAGGAAGTGTTGGAATTCTTTCCCTACAAATTTGCACTGTATCTGTATTATCTCCGTACATTATTCTCAAGGTTTCTTTTTTATGTAACAAGCAAATTGTGAATTTATCTGTAGGTGACACCAAATATTCTAATATTTTGTAAAAAGCTTGCGATCGAGCATCTAATCTTGTCTAAACATTGCAAAAACTGTTGAATTTGAATCGGACTTTAGATGTTTACTCGATCCTTGTTAGCAAGTCTGCCCTCTATTTATGTGATAGATTCACCGAAAATAGAAAATATCACTGTGGGATTGCTTTAAGGAATGTTCATTACGATGTGTTATTGCTACAAGGAAATTCGACTTAATGGCATGTTGGTACATTGTGAGGAATATAATGAAGAATTTAGATGTGCCATTTTTCTCCTCGTATCAAACATGCCCTTGAGATTTTCTCAAGATCCTATGCACAGCCCAACCCTATATGAGATCTCTTAAAATACATTGTCCTTTAGGCTCTCTGATCATAGCGTCAAATTGCTCTCTTCAAATGCATTTCTTTTCGAGTTTGAAAATGCCAATGACTCGGCTATGCTTTTGACCTCTGCAATCATCGCAACTACGTTGTTGAGCTTGTTTACTGCTGAACCCACACCCTGTAAGCAATGATTACAGAGATATTAATAAGTTTCTGCACTAATCATTAAATGCAACAAAGATGATATGTTTGATGAGAGCAACTTATGAATCCATACCACGCCCGAAGCTCCTGCTGTGATCGCCATTGGTGCTGTGACCGAGCTTAATCCAGACGAACACATTACTGGTATTGTAACTGCCCGAGATATAGAATATGCTGCTGCAAGTGTTGGGGTTGCCTAGAGTACCAAGGAGATGAAACATTGTTGAAGGACTACTATTAGATGACATATATAAGTGAAAAGAAAATGTTCATTCGACGGGGATTGAACACACATTATTCAGTACTCATGTATAATTTACATACGTTACCTTTTCGATTAATCCAAGAATACCAGCCTTTGAAGGACTAGAACACTTTCCACCTTCAGTCTGAATAACGTCAGCACCTTCTTGCTCTAACAATTCTGCTAGCTTGATCTGTTAGTGAAAAATGAAGTGTACATTATCAATAGGTTTGAACAATCTCAACTAAAAGCTTAAACTGTTAGAAAAGAGGATATCTGTTTATGTAAATTTACACGTCTACACAAGAAATGTATTGAATTCAACTTGTAATCTTATTTTAGAGTACAGATCAAAACCTGGTCAGGAAGACTTAGTGTATGAGGCACTGTGACTGATAACGGGATGGATGGAAGAATCCTCTTAGTCTCCCTTGTTAAATTCAGTACCTGCATCCAAAAATCACCGAAGATTTTGGAATACCGGAACTAGATAACAACTTATTGAAGCCAGATCTTTTCCAACAGTGTAGTTGCAGTATTGCAAAATCAACAAAATCAAGAGAGAATTCTGTATCGAAACCAGCCTAATCCCGATACCTGCTCTGGTGAGAAAGTCAAGCCCATCTCATAGAACGAGTCAAAATTTCCGATTTCCAACATCAAGGCTCCTGCTTCAACAGCAGCTGGAAATGCCATAGGATCTACAGAAGAAACACAAACCTGCAAAGTCAAGGAATGAGTAACCGAAGTAGAAAATTCGATGCTCTCAAACTAGATCAACTATGCTGTTAGAATTTGGCAACTAAACCGATGACTTACATCATACGCTGAGGTTTATAGTTTATAAACATACTTGAGAGAACGAGTATATGAAAGGATGGAAAGTAACTAAAACAGGATTGGAATATAGGTAAATTACTATGCGATGATAACCAATGCCTTCACTATAACTCCACCAGCAGCCTAGACCTTTTAAACAGGCTAATCCGCTAGCTGGACAAAGCCATTATCTTAAATAACATTAAGAACCCTCAATCTTATCACTAAATCGTCGAATTTAGTGCATAGATTTGTCTGTGAAGAGTTTATACCGGAAGAGAAGTCAAGCTAATTGCAAGCTTCACCAACTCTGGATCGCATGCAATATCCACGTGAGTTGCTCCTCCCTGTAGGTGTGAGTAGAAAACGGAATAAAAACCCATAAGTTGGGGGAAGCAACATAGATCAGAAATAACGAGAAGTCTATACATAGCACGAAGGTATGGAGTGTAACCATACAATGCACTTATCCCTCGACAACCTAATCATTGACAACTCAAGTCACAGGATGATAAGAAAACAACCTTATCTGCAGCGGTAATAACGGAAGCAACATTATCTCTGTCCAAATTCTGTAACCCTGAAATGATCTGTAAAAATAGAAACACAACGTCACATAAAGTAGTTAAGACGTAAAGAGTAACGTTATTCATCTAGGCTATGTTTGGTATACCAAGTAGGTCGTATAAGAAATTTAGTATAAAATTATAGTGGACAACAATATGTATATGGTATTATGGTGGATAGTGTTATCTACTATTTCATTCAAAAGATAGTCGTTTTTCACTATCAACTGTATAACATAACACGGAGTTTGGAGGTGGGTTTAAGCCGAATAAGTGAGATATAGTAAATGACATTATTTTTTTAAATAAAAATAAACAGGATACTATCCAATTTAATCCACTATATGCAATCTATCTAATAATATCCACTAAAAATTTATACTAAAATTCTATATATGGCCAAATCCGGTATGCCAAAAGCCGCCCTAGAATTTAGATGATCAACTGCCAGATTGTTTATTCATTAGTTAAGGATATATCAAAGCTCCAAGACTCCAATATAAAATGAATAATTTTGTGTAAATCCACAATGGTTAAAAAGCTTAAACTGTTATAAATGGGGCAAACTTATTTATTTAAATTATGTTTTCAACACGACAACCTGCACTCCAAATTCACACGTGCACCTAGACGATGTCGTCAATGACACTATCTGAAAACTTAAGCCATTACAAGTTCAAAACATTTTCCCCTAGACTATATAGAAAGTTCTAAAAAACTGCAATATAGTACTGGTTTTGAAATTGTTACTTACTTTTAGAGCTCTTTTTTCATGGAATTCCCTCAAAACAGTCTCTTTGGTAGTCGAAAGCAAAGCCCTTGTTGTATTTAAGAAATTTCTTCTTCTGGTACAAGAAACTCGCACTGGCAAGGCAGAATCAGTCAGTAAAAGAGGATTTTGATTGGGTTTCGAAATGGTGTGAATTTTGGGTGAAATTGGGGTGCAGGAACTCATCATCTTTTTCTCACTCTATGTTTCGATTGTGGGCTAGCAGACTGTTGAAGGGAAGTGAAGAGTGAAGAGATAAGAGATAGGTTGGCAGCTTAAATTCTTGGAGGATAATTTATTAAAATAGTAAAAAGGGAAAAGGAAGATACTTTGGTTTGGGATTTTAGCTTGGCTAAGTT